TGCACACGCATATGTTATCCACATCCTCTTATTCTTCATATCATTATGGAATATAATAATTTACGAATCTCGTTAAATGAAACACAAACACAAACACACACGCTTAGCATGAATATATAAAAAAGGAAAAAACAAATATGAGTGACACTACCTGGAGGCTGTTATTCTTACTATCCGGGTCTCTGAATACCTGAAGCACATCTACTTGTTTTGACTCGATATAAACATCCTTTGAAAACGGAGATTTCTTTTTGTGTCCCACATTTATTGAAACCAACTGAAGAAACGATTTCGGAAACGCTGGAGAGAGAGAGAGAGAGAGAGAGAGAGAGAGAGAGAGAGAGAGAGAGAGAGAGAGAGAGAGAGAGAGACTTAGAAAGAGACAGAGAGAGAGAGAGACTTAGAAAGAGACAGAGAGAGACAGAGAGAAAGAGGGGGGGAGAGAATGTTTGTGTGTGTGTGTGTGTGTGTGTGTGTGTGTGTGTGTGTGTGTGTGTGTGTGTGTGTGTGTGTGAGAGAGAGAGAGATAAACAGACAGAGGCAGAGAGAGACTGCAGAATATATCCTTCAAGGAATAGCAAAACCTCCAAACATAAATAGCAGAAGAGGTGCAATACCAAATGGAGCAGCAAACAGTCATAAAAAGCACATAAATAAACCCAAGCATTACTTAGCCGTTTCCTTGAGCAGGCATGCGGGAATACAGGAAAAAATTTTCTTCCCAGAAATTTAAAAAAAAAATCCAAAAATCAATCTGCTGTTCCGAGATACAAAATAAACAGCAAAAAAAAAGAGAGAAAAAAAGGTCGGAATTTTCGGATATAGAAGGGGAAAAAAAAAATCACATTACTTTCCAGATCTAACTTTAGCTCCGTAAACTTTGCATTTGGGTCGCCGAAGTTAAGTTGGAATAAACGCCCGGAAGCATCCAACATTGCATAGGAAAAGCGATAATCAGTTTATTATTTTACATCATACAGGTGACCTCGTTCAGGGAAGAAAAAAAAGTCGTAAATATCGGTAAATCAAATGAAGCACATCAGTGATAAAAAAGGAGATGAAAAATAAGGAAAAAGACGAAAAAAATATGATTATAATAAGTATAAATAGAAGAGGGGGAAGAGGAAGAGGAAGAAGAAAGAAGAATAAAATAAGATGAAAAATGTAGATGATAATGGAAGAGGAATAAAAAGAAATATAAGAAAAAAAAAATATGATGAAGAAAAAAGAAAACAAATACAAAAAGGAAGGAGAGGAACAGGCAAAATATATGACGTCTCTCTCACTGTCTGTCTGTCTGTCTGTCTGTCTGTCTGTCTGTCTCTCTCTTCCTCTCTCCATCTCTCCCTCTCCCTCTTCCTCTCTCCATCTCTCCCTCTCTCTCTCTGGCTCTGTCTCCCTCTCCCTCTCTCTTCCTCTTCATCTAGCCTCCTCTTGCAAAGCACTATTGAAGCGAATTTCTGTTAAATCAACATCACCTACATTTTCAAAAGCATATTTTATTCAGTTCGAATTAAATAAATAATATGCAAATTATCCCTCTATAACACTCCTGAAGCAGATAAACAAAAATATAATTAAATCGCGCTTTGTGAAGGATTAAATTTCTAAATTAATTGTTGATTCTCGCTATCACTTCCGACCATGTCTTGCCTCGATGTGCAAGCTGAAGCTGGAAGGCAGATTGCAATCATTCTGGGCTTTCTTGCAAAGGATTATTGATTCCGCCGAATCTCCTGCAGGCTAGTTGCAAAGCGAGAACTGCAAATATTTTGTTTTCTTTCAAGGCGAGGTGTGTGTATTTGCGTCTCTCTCCGTGTCTCTGTCTCTCTCTCTTTCTCTTCCTCTATCTCACCCACACACTTAAATAGTTCCTAAATCTTTTTCTCTCTCTCTCTCTCTCTCTCTCTCTCTCTCTCTCTCTCTCTATATATATATATATATATATATATATATATATATATATATACACACGCATACATACATATACTCATATGTATACATACACATATACGTATCTCTCTCTCTCTCTCTCTCTCTCTCTCTCTCTCTCTCTCTCTCTCTCTCTCTCTCTATATATATATATATATATATATATATATATATATATATATATATACCATGAAAATGATTTAAGGGAACTACTCAGCCGGCCGCTAACAAGACCTCAGGCCGCATCGGCGTTAAAGAACAAGCACCGGACAAGGCGGTTGGACAGTTACATCAGTGGGAGAATAACAGGCCAGTAATTTAACAGTAATAAATGCGGGAATAACAGATATCGGAAAGATAATGCAATTGTGATCAAAACAATAATAGAACAAAGACAGTTATGTGGTAATAACAAATACAATAGCACCCCTGGTCCTGAATGATTTGACCTAGCGATCAAATAAAATATGTAAGTACGTAATATGGGAAATGCGTAAACACGCTCCGTCCCTTAAAAAAAATATTCTGAAAAAAAAAACACAGCACCAAAGAAACAACAGATGTAAGTATGTAATACAAATATAAATAAATCTCAACAAATAGAATGAAAATTAGCACAACACGAATAAAAGAAAACAATAAAAATAAGCAATGTAAACAAGACATCAGTCCCCGAAAATCTTAGCAATTAACGAAAATAAATAAAGAAAATAGCCACAACGTTCTCAAAATCGAAACGACTACCATTGCGAACGGAAAATGTTCAGTCAATCAAAGTCTGTTGATCTCCTTTCAACTCTGACTTGATTAGAGTTAATTTCGTTAATTACTTTATATACACACAGGTAAAGGGGTACACAAAACTCACTAAAAATCAGTCTTTTAGGCTTTTTCGAACGTTAATGAAAGTGGGATTGACGGGTTTACTTTTCAATATGCAATCATATATCTGTATGTTACTATATATTCAGTGTTGCATATTCATAAAAAAAGTATATGTTCTCTTCTCCAGAACCGTATTCTCATGTATTGCATATCTATACAACATAAACTCATGAGAGAGAAAGAGAACTTAAAGGTGTTTTCATCACCTATCACCTAATGAGCTATCGTTTAAATATAGGAGTCCAGTGACATACACACATACACAAACAAACAAATACACATAAATATACATATATATATATATGTGTGTGTGTTTGTGTGTGTGTGTGTGTGTGTGTGTGTGTGTGTGTGTGTGTGTGTGTGTGTGTGTGTGTGTGTGTGTGTGTGTGTGTGTGTGTGTGTGTGTGTGTGCCCGCGCGCATTTATGTATATATCTACTTCCCAGAAACACACAATGTACAAATATCTTTTAAAACGAAAGCCATAAAGGGAAACACAGACGACAGGAGCGCCACACCTCCCTGGCTATCTAGACGCTAAACAGCACGCCTGAAGAGCATTGAAGCAGCAGTCCCTCTTCAGGACCTCTTGTCCCTTGCGTCACTACCTGCCAGGGATTTGAAATGGGAGAAGCACCTCGAGGGAACCAAGGGACAGCAGAATAAAAAGGGGGCACGAGTCAGAGAGGAAAGGGAGGGCGGTAGGAATGGGGTTTCTTTAATGTATATCAATTTCCTCCTTTTCACTCATACGGAGGGCATCTTGGAAGGGCGTCGAGAGTGTCGCCCTCTTTCTCTGTCTGTTTGTGTGTGTGTCTTTCTGTGTGTGTGTGTCTCCGTCGCTGTTTTCTTCTCTCTCTCTCTCTCTCTCTCTCTCTCTCTCTCTCTCTCTCTCTCTCTCTCTCTCTCTCTCTCTCTCTCTCTCTCTCTCTCTCTTTCTCTCTCTCTTCTTCTTCCTCTTCTTCACTCAGAAAATGTTATGGACATAATGTTCCATTCGCCCTCGTGAAAGACAGCCTTTTTTAACACAAGAAAGGGAAAGCAAGACCAGACAGTTTACACTTGTTTTACACTTTACACAATTCTAATCATAATGCCCTGGTTCCTTTGCCAGTGACCATGGTGTTCTTTATAATTAATCATAGAGGTGGAATCATAAAAATCTTTCAGCTGCTCCCGTTGCTTTTTACTGAACGTGTAAACTAACCTCGTTTAACCTTTGACTTTATAAATGAACTGATGAACAAAGTCCTGTTAAAGGATTATTTTCTGATGGCCAACTGTCATATCATTCAACATGTCTTAAAGTTAGCAATTAAATAAATATTGTTTGGTTATGATTGTTTGATGCAATGTGGCATAATCAACTTCCTGTATTACCTTCACCATATTTTGAAATGTTACTTACATTTCTTCCGTTAACATTTTTTCTTTTCTTTTTCCTTTTAAGTAATAATACTTCATGAACGTCTGACATTTAACACACACAACACACAGCCTTCTATACGCTCGTGTATTTGCTCATCATCCAAAGCTGGATTGATTGAAGCATTGAACAAGATCCTAAGTTATCCCTTTTACCACTTTCTAATTATCCTTTTATGTCTGATTGGAATCTTGAGGATTTGCAAAGTGGATACAATTATCATTCTCTAAGAAGTACTCCAAGAACATATGATATTTCCTATTCGAATTATTTATCTTTGCAATTAATCTCTACATTCACTGCGTGAATGTGAACGATCATAAACTCTTTGTTATCAAACTGAATGATTTTATTAAGAAAAAAATGGGCTCGTTAATGCTTGTAATTCTAAGCTAATCAGTCTTTCTTCAGTATAGGTTGTATCATATAGCATAAAAAGATAATTGCATTCTTTCTTTAATGAGAGATTTTATTACTAAATGACCTATCAAATATGTGTGATTTTTTTGTCTGCAAAGTGATTGAGAAAGAGGAGAATGAGACAAGTAAGGAAGGAAAGAGAGAGAGAGAGAGAGAGAGAGAGAGAGAGAGAGAGAGAGAGAGAGAGAGAGAGAGAGAGAGAGAGAGAGAGAGAGAGAGGGGGGGGGGGAGAGAGAAAGAGAGGCAGAGGCAGAGAGGTAGATACCACATATGACACCTCACGACTATTCGAAAAATAAGAAGCAGCCTCACGCATCTCGGCCGCGGCTGAGCCTTACCCTAGGAAGATGCTGTCGTGCGAGTGCGAGTGGAAGGCCGGGATGCGGAGCTTCGGCAGCACGATGGTCTTTCCCTTGCGCGTCCTGACGGTGAACGTGGACGAGAAGTGAAGCTCGGGCGTCGGGTTGTGCGGCGACAGGATCGTCAGGCCTCGGCTCTCGGGCAGCCCCAGGCAAGGGGTGAGGTTCCCGCCCGCTCCCATGCTCCCGACCGACGAAGGGGAGCCGCCCATGTCGTGGAAGGAGGGCACCTTGAGCTCCATTGAGGCGATGATGGAGTTGCGGTCGGGCGTGCGCGTGATCCTCTTGGAGCGGCCGCGGGGGCTGTCGGGGCACCGGAACGACGTGCCGATCAGCTTCGAGGACGACTCCGAGTACCGGAAGCTCGAGGTCTCGGTCACACTCACGGTCGTGTTCTCGGGCACGGTCCCGATGCCCATCTTCTGAGCCGTCGCCGTCCCCTCGTGGAACTTGAACTTGAAGCTCTCGTGGTACTTCAGCCGCGGACTCTCCTGGCTCTTGTAGCGCGGGCTGTCGGGGGTCCGGTCCTTCCCCGGGCCGCCCTCGGGCTCCGTGAACTTGACGCTGTGTCTCGGGCTGGCCGACGATACGGCGGCGCCGCCCGAGTTGTGCTTGCCCTTGCCCAGGATGCTGATGGGCTCCGACGGCAGCAGCGTCGAGGAGCCGCTGAGAGTGTGCTGCGAGGAGGAGGTGTACACGCTGCTGCTGCTACTGCTGCTGCTCCACACTTGGCTCCCGAGGCCGCAGCCGGAGAAGGAGGGCGCCCCGCGGCCGAATCCCGAAGTAGGCTCTGGCGGGGCCTTGTGCAGCGAGGGCAAGGAGGCGGAACACTTGCCCTGCTCATCCTTGCGCGTTTCCATGGCGGCTTGCAAACGGCTTCGATGTCCCTCCACAGTAATAAACACTACACTATCAATTCACTTTCTGTTGCTCGTTTCTTTTTATTTTTTTCTTACCGATTCAACACGCACTGCTTTTTCTACCT